TTAATTATTGTTATGTGTAGGAAAGAAAATTGTTATCGGCAGAAGGTATCCGAGTCACATGGCACCAAAATGTATCACTGGTAGTGAATATCCAAGTTATCGTCAGAGAATCCGTATAGGTCTGCAGCAACCTCTATTCTTACGTCCTCAGAAGAAAGAATTCAACTCAGGGTCATAGGCAGAAAAAGAGACTGAGGCAAGTTTCAGAGCAGGAGTGGAAGTTTATGTACGCCTGAGAGCAGGAACATAAGGCAAGTGATACAGGAGACAGAAATTATTTTAAGCAGATAATGAGGGCAAAAGAGTCCTCGGCAGAAGGGCTTCTAACAAAGAGCCCAAAAATCACTTCTTTTCCAACAAAGAGCAGCCTGGGAGATCGGGCTGCAAACACAGAGAAGGAAGCTGGAAACTTGCACGAGGGGATGTCAGCAGCTGCACAGTTAGAAAGAAAGAGGTGCCTGGGGCCAGGAATGTCCACCATGGGGGCTCCACCTCCCCTCTGTTTTTAGCACATGCACAGTAAGAAAGAAATAAGTGGCCAGGCGCAGCGGCTAACGCCTGTAATCCCAGCACTTTGGGAGGCCAAGGCAGGCGGATCACAAGGTCAGGAGTTCGAAACCAGCCTGACCAACAAGGTGAAACTCCGTCTCCACTAAAAATACAAAAATCAGCCGTGTGTGGTGGCACCCGCCTGTAATCCCAGCTACTTAGGAGGCTGAAGCAGGAGAATCGCTTGAACCTGGGAAGCAGAGGTTGCAGTGAGCCAAGATCTCACCACTGCATTCCAACCTGGGTGACAGAGTGAGACTCCTTCTCAAAAAAAAAAGAAGGAAAGAAAGAAATAAGCAACATGAAGTAGCTACTCACCTGTATAATAAAAGATTGGTGTGGGGGCTACCAGAGATTCGTGCCCTATGCCAATGGCACACATGGTCCTAACCAGTTTTTCACGCCCTATGTAGATCAGACACCACCTCCCCACTAGCTCTTCTGTAGCACCCCCTGCATTTAACCACGGATAGGCAACTCATTTTTTCGGGACCCTTCTCTGGGGCAGAGAGCTATTCTCTTTCTTTCACCTACTAAAATTCTGCTCTAAACCCCACCCTTTGTGTGTTTCCGCATCCTTCACCTCCAAGGCCGTGAGACCGAGAGCCTTGGGTGTCATCCCAGCCAACAAGGCTGCTTCGCAAGTACACCTGGAAGAGAGCCAAGTGGACACCTTGGAGGTCAAGTGCCCCGTTTGATCTTGAACCTAGGATTTTATATGCTGGCCTACTTCCGGCATCTTGTGCCCCTTTCCCTCATTCTTCCCTTAGGGTGAACCTCCCACGTGCATAGTGCCCTGCTTGTGATTGGGAGGTGAGCATGTGCAGTGTGTTTAAGAAGTTGTATGCGTGCTCACCTAAGGCTTTCTTCCCTTTTCCAGTGGAACGCCGCTAGAAGGTCATACTCTGCCATTCTGTCTCTTAATGCGCATGCTCAAGCCCACTGGCCCAGTTCCTGAGATCTTAATTGGAAGCTGCTGACTACCAATTTCAAGTGTATTCATCTGTTGGGAAACTGCCTCTCCCTGTTGCGGCCATGATCAATGATCATTTTAGAGCGGCAGTGTGAGAACTGCCAAACCATCCCCTGATCGTCACCTGACATTTCTGGCCAGCTGGGAGGGGAGACCTTCTCTGCCCTACTCCTGCCTGACTACCTACCTACTCTAACAAAATCAGTATCTTGGCCGGGCGCGGTGACTCAAGCCTGTAATCCTAGCACTTTGGGAGGCTGAGACGGGTGGATCACGAGGTCAGGAGATCAAGACCATCCTGGCTAACACGGTGAAACCCCATCTCTACTAAAAAACATACAAAAAACTAGCCAGACGAGGTGGCAGGCGCCTATAGTCCCAGCTACTCGGGAGGCTGAGGCAGGAGAATGGCGTAAACCCGGGAGGCGGAGCTTGCAGTGAGCTGAGATCCGGCCACTGCACTCCAGCCTGAGTGACAGAGCGAGACTCCATCTCAAAAAAAAAAAAAAAAAAACAAAATCAGTATCTTGTCTTCCCAGTGATTCTTTATTTTGGTAATATAGAATCAACTTGTGGAGAAGGCAGCACGATGTAGTGAACAAAGCTTCAACAGGCCAGGATTTAAATCCCAGAGCCACCATTTATTGGCCATGTACCATTAGATATGTGTTACAGGCCTCTCCTGGTCCTCATTTTTTTTCATCTGCAAAATGGGAAGTGATGGCAAGGATCAAATAAGATGACAACTATAAGAAGCAAGCCCAAAGCTAGGCACACATTAAATGTGTTTCCCTTCCCTTCTTAAGTCAGAGTTTGGACTCTGAACATAAAATATAACTCCCCACCAAGAGCTGACTCTGACTATGGGCACTGTTTCTATGAAGGGAGCTCTTGGTGGCCCTTTGTTGTAACTGTTGATTGCACACATCTGGAAACCATGACAACCGTTGTGCTTTGAGTTCAGCTTGGCCCAAATGTGGCTCTATATAAGGCAGCTTCTATACTTCAGTTTTTCCCAACACATCATAGCTTGGCTTGAGTTTGGGCAGAGGGGTGGGTGCCAAAGGAAATGTACAATGTCTGGGAAAAATTCGTATTCAACTAACAATTACCCAGATCTGTATGGCCCCACTGGGGCACTGTTCCTGGAGCTTTCGTGTCCATTCTACCACTGAAAATGCGAAAATGCAGTAGGAAGCTTTATGATGATGCCTACTTTGCAGGTGTTTCGATGACTCTGGGTGGTTTAAGTGACTTTCCAAGGTCACAGAGATAATAAGGCAAGGACTTGGGATAAGATCCCAGGCTTCTGTCATGGAAGAAAGCAGGTCACAAGGATTTGCGGTGTTGGAAGAACAGCGGCTGTAGCGTCTGCCTGCCAAAGTGTGCCTTGAGTTGACACTGTCCACAGCAAGCACTGGAAGGCAGGAGAGGGGAGGTCCTATGTAAGTTTCCTTGGCTTTTAGAAGAAACCCTGTGTCCAGGCTCTTTGTCAACTAAGTCACATATCGAGCTGGGGGAGGTAGTGATATATGGCTAATTAAATGTGCCATGTAAAAAATACCTGACCACGAATTTTAAAAAACAGTTTGTAAAACACTCCTGGCATCATTTAATCTTTTGGGGTTTTCACTTGTTGTATTCAGAAGGTATTTTAGGACCAACATTAATTGTCATGCATTCATTCAATGAATATTTATTCACCTACTTACTGTGTATCAAGCACTGTTTTGTTTTGTTGTTGTTGTTTTGGGACAGAATCTCACTCTGTTGCCTAGGCTGGAGTGCAGTGGCATGATATCTGCTAACTGCAACTTCCGCCTCCTGGGTTCAAGCAATTCCCGTGCCTCATACTCCCAAGTAGCTGGGATTACAGTTGTGTGCCACAACTTTCGGCTAATTTTCATATTTTTTTGTAGAGACGGAGTTTCACCATGTTGGCCAGGCTGGTCTTGAACTCCTGACCTCAGGTGATCGGCCCGCCTTGGCCTCCCAAATTACTGGGATTACAGGTGTGACCCACTGTGCCCGGCCAGTAAAACTTTTCAACACAAACTCTTCAAAATGCCATCTTTTAACCTTCATAGGTTACAAAAGGTATTAAAAGATTGAGATTTGCTGGGGGAAAGAATGCTAAAAAATAAGTCAGCTTTCTTTTCTGTAACCATTTAAAGAAATACAAAGTAATCCTACAGGCAATTCCTTGGTGGGCTTATTTGGTAATTTTTTTCTTTCTTTTCCATTTTTCTCTTGCTCTTTGGTTTGTAGGAGAACTCCTTTATTCCCAGGAGGCAATTTTGAGTCCCAACATGTCCTGCATCATCTCCTGTGCCCACCGCCAAAGGCAGGCTACCAGAGCGTGGGTCTCAGCACAGCTCTGATTGGATGATAAGCAAGGAGAGTAATATGCTGCTAGGGGGTTAGAGGAAAAAAAAAAAAACTAGAATACCAGAATGTAGTATTTCAAATTTCCTCCCTCCAAATCAAAAGCCTTGTGAATGAAATTATGACCATTATTCAAGTGTAATTATACTGAGTATGTAAAATGGAAACACTGAAAGTAAATCATACATTTGGATATTACATTTCATATTTGAGAACATTCCAGAAACATTTTATTATTGTTGAGTGTAATGTCAGGAGACAAACTTCTACAAATTTTATACATAAATTTTTCCATTTTCTCTGTTTCCCATTTATGTCAAGTTGAACACATGGTATGACTTTTAATATTCTCTCTTCCTTCTCCTTCCCCACATTGAATGTCAAGTGATCACACTCAATTTTGATTATCCTAAATTTACCCTTAGAATCTATCACCCCATTGTGTGTTGCAGCCAGAACAAGAGGGTTTTTAAATTAGTATCAAAAGGAGAGGCCAGGCTTGGTGGCTCATGCTTATAGTTCCAGCACTTTGGAAGGCTGGGGCAGGAAGATCCCTTGAGCCCAGGAGTTTCAGACCAGCCTGGGCAACATGGTGAGATTTTATCTCTACAAAAAAAAAAAAAAGATTTTTTTAATTTAGCAGGGTGTGGTGGCATGCCCTGTAGTCTCAGCTACTATGGAGGCTGAGGTGGGAGGATCACTTGATCCTGGAAGGTGGAGGCTGCAGTAAGCCGAGTGGCACCAGTGCACTCCTGTCAAAAGAGAGAGAGAAACAGAGGCTCTAAATAAACCTATAAAACTATGAAACTGGGGTCTTATGGATGCTAGCAAATATCTTGGAAAGAACTGCCAGCGCCAGTCAATTACGGAAGACCACGGCGGCTACAGGCTGTTTTCCAGCTCAGGCGTCAACTCATGGAAACTGGGTAATACCGAAGAAACTGCGGATTCTCGCGTGAACAGGATCTCGCAGATGTGGGGGCGTAGGAAGAGTCTCCTCAGGCCCGCTCCAACCCCCAACGGACTTAGGGGTTGGCGGTGAACTACGGGTGGCCCCGCGCCCCGCCAGCTGGGGGCGCCCGAGCGCGAGCGGGGGGTGGCGCCGTTGGGATCACAGCCGAGGCGGGAGAATGGCTTCCAGCTTCAAGAAGCCTAGCGCCGCCCCCACCAGCCAAAAGAGAAAGGTGGCGCCTAAGCCCGAGCTCACTGAAGATCAGAAGCAAGAAGTTCGGGAAGCGTTTGACCTCTTTGACGCGGACGGAAGCGGGACCATCGACGTGAAGGAGCTGAAGGTGGCCATGAGAGCTCTGGGCTTCGAACCCAGGAAGGAAGAGATGAAGAAGATGATCTCCGAGGTGGACAAGGAAGGCACGGGGAAGATCAGCTTCAATGACTTCCTGGCCGTGATGACTCAGAAAATGTCCGAGAAGGACACCAAAGAAGAAATCCTGAAGGCCTTCAGGCTCTTTGATGACGATGAGACCGGGAAGATCTCGTTCAAAAACCTGAAGCGCGTGGCCAACGAGCTGGGGGAAAACCTCACGGATGAGGAGCTGCAGGAGATGATCGACGAAGCTGATCGGGACGGGGACGGCGAAGTGAATGAGGAGGAGTTCCTTCGGATCATGAAGAAGACCAACCTTTACTGAAGTCGGTTCAGAAGCTAAAGTGACTCTCTGGGTTCCCCGCTTCCATTTTGTGAAACCTTAGAGGACGGCGGCTGCCTGTCCCTTCTTCACCCCCTCACCCCCATAATTTGTCTAGATCTATTTCCATATCTGTAGTTCAATTATAGAATTTGAAAGATGCTTGTAATGTGAGTTTTGGTTTTTAATTCTCAAGAGCCAACCTGGAGCACATAAGGTTAAACAAAGGGCCCTGAAGTTTGAGTGCGCCCTCCATTTGCCCTGTGCTGAACTTGCAGAGACATCCGTTGAGCTGGAGGCAGGACAACTTCTGGGACACACAAAAATGTGATTGCCTTTGTCACTTCTTTGGTGGTCTTAAATTATCTTGCTTCATATATCATTCCTTAAATTCCAGTCATTGTTCCAGCATAATGAGATGGAATCTGCCAGTAGATTTGCCTAGCCTGTCCACTTAGCTGAATACCAGTTTAAAGGAAAACAGAGTGGCCACTTACAAACTTACTAAGCTCAGGACAGATAATCTTATAAAGAATAGGCTTGCTTGGGTGGTAGTACGTTGTGCAATTTAGACTATTCACTGGCTTCATACGTGCAAATGATTCTTCGTTTGTGTGTAAATTGTCCACTGATTCTTCGTTTGTGTGTAAATTGTCCACCGTGCATTTATCTAGGGCTAGTATGTATACCTGGGCTACAGAATAAAAATAAAATCTAATACTGGCCCAAGCAAAGTATAATTTGCTTAAGAGGTTATGCTAACAAATGATTTTGAGTAAATATCTACAAATGTAGGATCTTAGTTTAGGAAATTGTAGGGAATACCTTACTATAACATTTTAAGCTACTTACAGTCCTTGGAAATATCAACAAATATCTTAGTTATCAGACTATTATAACCTTAGTCATCTTATTACTGCTTGATTATAAGACACTTTCTCCCCGCCAATCCTTAGAACATCTTGGTTCTTGGTACTTGACTTTTAGCCCCTCTGACATATAGTTGATGTTAGAGTGTCTGCCATTTAAGTAGTGCTCTATTTTACAAATCCCAGTAAACTGTTCCACTGTGGCTTGTTTATGTGTTAATACTGCTTGTTTTCTGTTATAAATTCTTTCTTGCTTTGGAGTAAGATATCTATCGTTTTGAATATCTACAAATCTGAAGTTAAAGAAAATTTTTAAAATGTAATTGTGGGAAAATAAATAGATCTGCTGAGATGGAGGCTTTGACTAGTGTTTTAATAATAGGCAACAAAACAAAAAGGCAGGATATTTTGGTCACAACTAAACCTAAATTAAATCCTCATACAAAGCCCCATTAAAATAAATGCTCAAATTCTGGGAACATTTCACTTGCTTTGCCAGCAATTTTACCCTTCAGAGGGTGTGGATCTAATCAGGGGAACAAACTACCCTGGACTTACTTCTCATTAACAGGGACTAATTTGTCAAAGCGGCAGTACTAGCTGAAGTGATGGGTATGGAAGCATTCACTGTGAGGATTTTGCTGAGGTGCCTGGCACAGGGCAGGGGAACTCACCCAGGCTGCAAGATGCTAATGGTTCAGGTTCAAGGTCTTAGTGTGGACTCAGGGGCAGTCAGGATGGGAACAGGTGCAACTTGGGCCAACATCAGTATGAAGGGCCTGATCTGAGGGCGGGGGGAGGAGGGGGTATTCTGGGAAGCATGAGTTCCTGGTATACTATTGACCAGAGTCTTGGCCCAAGGATCAACGTATGAATTAAAGTAGAAATACCAGAAACAAAGAAAGTTGGCAGAAACTAGGAGAAGCAGAGTCTCAGCCAACTGGACTGGGCTCAGTCTTGGCTACTGGCCCAGCAGATGATAGAAGAGAAAACCAGGAACCCAGGCTGAAGCCCAGCGGTCGGGCTGGCCACACACCTCAGGCCTTACAGGGGTGACCTGAGGGCATGGTCCATTCCAAACAAGGAAAGGGGGCTCCAGAATATTTCTGAATCCCACTCACTGCCAGGGAAGAACCTCTCAATTCACTGAATAGTGCATTCTCCTGCCTCTCAATAGGCTCATACTCTAGAGAATATGGGGACAAGGGGAGGAGGGTCTACTGGAACAAGCCTAAACCGGCATTTAAATTTTAAGATAAGTTAATCATACATTGGCTGGGCCAGCCATGTCTCTTAGTCTTTACAAAAGTAGAACACAAAAAAATTCAATGGAAATCTGCAGACGACTATTTGCAGATGAGGAAACACGGCTATAAAGATTGGGAAGAACTGGCCAGGTGCAGTGGCTCACGCCTGTAATCCCAGCACTGTGGGAGGCCAAGGCAGGTGGATCACTTGAGATCAGGAGTTGGAGACCAGCCCGGGCAACATCGTAAAACCCTGTCTCTACTCAAATTACAAAAATTAGCAGGGCATGGTGGTGCCTTCCTGTAATCCCAGCTACGCGGGAGGCTGAGGCAGGACAATGGCTTGAACCTGGTGATCGGAAGTTGCAGTGAGCCAAAATCATGCCACTGTACTCCAGCCTGGTTGACAGAGCAAGACTCTTTCAAAAAAAAAAAAAGAGAGATAGAGATTGGCTGGTCCCAAGGCATTCCAAATTGGGACGAGGAATTTAGGCCTTTAAAACTTCTCATTGACTGTCAGTCACTGGGCATGAGCAGTCCCCAGGAAGGGGGGATGACCTCGAGCAAGGTGGACATCTTCAGTCAAGGGCAATCACTGGTTAGTTCCACTATTTGTTTTTGTTTTTGTTTTTTTGTTTTTTGTTTTTTTGAGACAGAGTCTCACTCTGTTACCCAGGCTGGAGTGTAGTGGCATGATCTCGAATCACTGCAACCTCCGCCTCCCAGGTTCAAGCAATTCTCCTGCCTCAGCCTCCCGAGTAGCTGGGACTACAGGCACCTGCCACCATGCCCAGCTAATTTTTGTATTTTTAGTAGAGACGAGGTTTTACCACGTTGGCCAGAATGGTCTCAAATCTTCTTAATTTTTGAAGGATAATTTCACGGGAAGAATTCTCGGTTAGTGTATTTTTCTTTTCTTTTATTTATTTATTTATTTATTTATTTTATTTTATTTTTTTTTGAGACGGGAGTCTCGCTCTGCCGCCCAGGCTGGAGTGCAGTGGCCGGATCTCAGCTCACTGCAAGCTCCGCCTCCCGGGTTTACGCCATTCTCCTGCCTCAGCCTCCCGAGTAGCTGGGACTACAGGCGCCCACCGCCTCGCCGGGCTAGGTTTTTGTATTTTTTAGTAAAGACGGGGTTTCACTGTGTTAGCCAGGATGGTCTTGATCTCCTGACCTGGTGATCCGCCCATCTTGGCCTCCCAAAGTGCTGGGATTACAGGCTTGAGCCACCGCGCCCGGCCCGTATTTTTCTTTTAATACTTTAAATATTTCACTCCACTTTCTTCTTGCTTATGTGGTTTCTGAAGAGAATGACGTAATTCTTATTCTTGTTTCTGCGCAGGTAAGGTGGTTTCATACCTCTGGCTTCTTTCAAGAATTTCTCTTTGTCTTTGATTTCCTACAGTTTGAATATGATATAATTATGTGTAGATTTGGGGCTATTTATCCTGTCTGATGTAGTCTGAGCTTCCTAGGTCTGTGGTATGGTGTCTTGTCATTGATTTGGGAAAATTCTGAGTCATTATTACTTCAAATATTTCTTCTGTTCCTTTGTGTTTTTTTAACTTGCACCAACTTTTTAATTGATACATGATATGTTACGTACTTTTGGGGTACATGTAATACTTCATTACCTGCACAGAATGTGTAACGATCAAGTCAAGGTGTTTGGGCTATTACCTTGAGTATGTGTCGTTTGTATGTGTTGGGAGCTTTTCAAGTCCTCTGTTATAATAATTTTGAATTATACAATGCCTTGTTGTTAACTAGTCACCCTGTTCTGCTCTCAAACACTAGGATTTATTCCTTCTATCTAACTGGGTGTTTGTACCCATTAACCAACCTCTCTTCATCCCCTCTACCCACACACCTTTCCCAGCCTTGGGTATCTATCATTCTACTCTCTACCTCCATGAGATCAGCATTTTTAACTCCCACACATGAGTGAGAGCATGTGGTATTCGTTTTGCTCTGTCTGGATTATTTCATTTAAGATAATGACCTTTTGTTCCATCCAGGTCACTGCAAATAACAAGATTTCATTGTTTTTTCTTTTTTTGGCCAAATAGTGTTCCACTCTTTATATAGACCACATTTTCTTTATCCATGTGTGCATTGATGAATGCTGAGGTTGATCCATATCTTGGCTATTGTGAATAGTGCTGCAATAAACATGGGGGTGCAGGTATCCCTTTAATATACCAATTTCTTTTCCTTTGGATAAATACCCAGCAGTAGGATTGCTGGATCATGTGGTAGATGTATTTTTAGTTTTTTAAGAAACCTCCATACTCTTCCATCATGGTTGTGTTAATTTACATTCCCATCAACAGTATATGAGTTCCCTTTTTTTCTGCATCCTCACCAGCATCTATTATTTTTGTCTTTTTAACAATGGCCTTTCTAACAGGGGTGAGATGATATCTCATTGTGGTTTTGATTTGTATTTCCCTGATGATTAGTGATGTCAAGCATTTTTCCATATGCCCATTGGCCATTTGTATGTCTTCTTTTGATGAAGTCTGCTTGTGTCCTTTGCCCTGTCTGTGCTCCTTTCTTTTTTCCTTCTCCCTCTGGTATTCCCCTCACACATATGTCAGACCTTTTGTAATTGTCCCACAAGTCTTGCATTTTCTGTTCTTTTTCATTCCTTCTTCTCTTTGTGTTTCAGTTTTGGAAGTTTCTATTGATATTCAAGCTCACTGATTCTTCCTCTGACTCTGTTTAGTCTATTAATAAGCCCTTCAAAGGCTTTCTCCCTCCCCTCCCCTCCCCTCCCCTCCCCCCTTTTCTCTTTCTTTCTTTCTTTCTTTCTTTCTTTCTTTCTTTCTTTCTTTCTTTCTTTCTTCTTTCTTCTTCTTCTCTCTCTCTCTCTCTCTCTCTCTGTCTGACTCTCTCTCTCTCTCTCTTTCTTTCGAAACCAGTTCTCACTATGCTGCTCAGGCTAGCCTAGAACCCCTGGACTCAAGTGATCCTCTCAGCTCAGCCTTCCAAGTAGGTGGCACAAATGCACCATTCTATCATACCCAGCAATTCTTCATTTCTGTTACAGTGGTTTTTATTTCTAGCATTTTCTTTTGATTCTTTCCTAGAGTTTCCATCTCTCTGCTTACATACACATTTGTTCTCTCATATGGTCCACTTTTTCCATTAGAGCCTTCAGCATATTAATTATAGTTATTTTCAATTCTAACCTGATAATTCCAAAATCTTGGTCATATCTGAGTCTGTTTCTACGCTTGGTTCGTCTCCTCAGACTCTGTTTTTTCCTTTTAGGATGTCCCTTATCTTTTTTTGTTGAAAACCAGACATGATGTATCAGATAAAAGTAATTGAGGTAAACAGGCCTTTAATATGAGGTTTTATGTTTATCTGGCTTGGAGTTAGGCTGTGTTTACTGTTTAACATAGCTTTGGTGTCAGAGGCTAAAATTTCCTCTGGTGCCCTTGTTTTTGTCTCTCCTGTTACGTTTGGGTTTCTGTAGAGTCTCCGTGAATATGGTGTGAGGCTTGAGGTTCTTTACCTGTAACCCCTCTTATTATACAGGAGCCCTGCTGATGTGGTGGTAAGGTGGGAGGATGGGAGTAAGTATTCAGCAGTCCTGTGATCAGGTCT